CCTAATACACAAAGTTTTTTTTTTTTCATAATGAATGAATGAGGCATTTATATAGCGCTTTACTATGTACTGCTGTTTTTGCTTTTTGTTAATTAAGTTTTCCAGAACAGTCTAGTAATTGAGAAGCACAAAATTAACAACCAAAAACAAACTTTGACTGATTTTTTTAAGTTGTGAAACTAGACGATGAAATTTTCTTGGATGAATCAGAAGACGAGAAGTTATTATGGGGCCTTACCAAAACAAAATTATTTTTTTATTTTTTTTGTCGAAGCTGCATGCTCATTCATGAATTCATCATTAAATTTTGTTTTCCTCACACAAAGGTATTGTAAATAGTTTGGAATGGTCTACTGAAAAAAAAAAAAAAATCATACAGCTTTTGTAAAGAGTACTTTTTTTTTTAGGTGAACCTTCACTGCCCTCTAGGCAATAATATTCTTTGTGTGTGTGTGAGCCAAAACGTGACACTCAAGAATGACAGACACTGGTTTTGTCTTTGGTTACATGTTGTTTGGTGTTCAGTGATGTGTCTGTCATCTCTAACACGAGCTGTTGTATGTCCTGCAGTTGGTTACTATGAGAATGGACTGATTAAAGCAGAGAACGGCACATCCCCTCGTCTCAAGAAGATCAAAGCGCCGTAAACTTCAGCCCCATTCTAGCGCATGGCCTCCACACATCGAGGGCACAGGAACAGGAAACAGCTCATCTGCCTGCTGCTTCCCGTTTCCACATCAAGAGAAGTGCATGTGGCGTTTCTTAGAGTGACGACAGCACCCTCAACAGGCTCTGGTCAACGTACTAAACTTCTCTTTCCAGTTTCAGTATTCATGTTATTTCTTCTGCATATGTTTCTAAACTTCACTCAGTCTTTCTTTATTAAAGCGCTGTTTTGAGGTTAGTTTTATTTTTCTGTGTCTGCATGTTTTGAGGTACAAAAGTGGTGACTACGGTGGCCTAGAAATGACATTTATTGAGATGATTTAAATCTGAGGTGTTGTTGTGAGATCAAAAGATTTACATGACAATCAAAAAAAACCGGCAAAGAAACAATGGAAAATCATGTTTGAGGTAGGAACAAGTGTTGTAGTAGTGAAATGACCCTGAACACACAGCGCAAACTCACTCAGTTTGGCTTTGTACGTTTATGCAGTTTGATATTTGATTGTATATGACGATGCTTTATAAATATTGAACCTTTTTGAATAGTGACATTTTTAATGTGTTCTGTCTTTGCAGAAAAAATTCAGCATTTATGTTTATTTCATCATATCAACTGATAATGGATGGGAATCTCTGATGAAAATATGTCCTTGTCACGTTTCATCAAAAAAAAAAAAAAGTTTTGCATGACGAAAAAGCCTATTAGAATTATTTTTTTTTGCATTTTTTTTTGCATTTTTTAATCAAATCAGTGTAAACTGAAAATAACATTTAAAACTAATTTACAAATTACCTTTTTAACATTAGGATAATGAGCTTTTCAGTGCAAAAAAAAACTTGTCTGTAAAATAAGATTCATTTCTGTAATGCAAAAACAAATTCAATACAACTACAACCATGGGATATGCAATTGCACTTAACTGAAATTTACTTAAAGGGGTCATAGGATGCTACATGCACTTTTACAAGTTGTTTGAACTGAAATGTGTGTTGGCAGTGTGTGTACACAACCACCCTATAATGATAAAAATCCTTTTTGGAATATAACTCTGATGCAAATTAATATTGATACTAAAAATAAGGGGGTGGATTCACAAAATATTTTAGGAATACATTTCTTTTAAACTGCCATTTTATTTTCTAACTTGTAAAAATGTTCTTTACTTTAGTTTTAAAAAATACTCAAGAACAATCTTAGAAAAAAAAGTGTTTTTAAGACTTCACATTCTTCTAGATGACCTTTATGCATCGGGCATCTGATGAATATACACACATTCAGAAATTTCTCCAGTTCAAGGTTTTTCATTTGTTGTATTACACAAGGCATCCTTATGTAGGATAACATCTAATCCTGTAATTTTACAAAAGAAAAAATCCTAGGAATGTATTTGGGTAGTTAATGTTTCCAGATTTGCACGTAGGACCATGCTTACAAACTTAAAATTTACCTTAATATTTTATTACTTTTTTTTGCTTCAGATGAATCCAGCCTAACGTTAAGATAATTATTTTCTTCTAATTTTGTGGTGAAATAAGACATGTTTGTAAATACAGTCAAATTATACATAAATGAGCCTCAAAAATGTTCATTTTACAGATGCTTGTTTTCCTCTCTTTATTGCACATTAACATCACAATACATGAACATTCTCAACATCAAAAAGAACAAACATGAAAGAAAAAAGGTATTTTGATGATGACGTGTTGGTATCTTGTGACGATGGGAAGCATTATAGAGCAGATTTCAGCTCTGGAGGATGACCGCAGCTCCATCAGTCTCACCTGTGAAGAGAAATATTCAAGATTTCTACTGAATATCAGCCACAGAAACATAATCATGAATAGTCCATTTCTCCTTTTCACAAGATCTTGGATATGCAACCGAAAGGCTGTGCACTTAAAGGACCCAACCCTTACTGCATTTTTTTTTCTGGCCAAAATATATTTTAAATATATGGTGTGAGTTGAATGAAAAAAAAAACTGTTTACTTTCAACCTTCATATACCAAAATATATTTTAAAATGTATTTCAGGGGCAAGAAAATACATTTCCAATCTTACAGTAGCCTACATTAAATGCAAATATGGATGGATATTTTATATTTATTGAAATATTTATATATTTAAAATATACTTTCAAAAACGTATTGGTAGAATAAAAAGTATTTACATATATTTTAGCAAATATATTTTTTTAAATATTTAAAAATATATTTGACAATATATATTTTGCCATATGGATATTCTTAGTGATGCCTTGGAAGATCCATTTTTGATTCCCCCAAAGTATCTTTTGTGAACAGTACTTGAGATAATCATTTTCATCTTAAAATGACAAATATTTTAATACTCTAAAGAACCTTTTGTTGAATGGAAATAAATCCATGGATGTTAAAGGCTCTTCATGGAACCATCGAAGCCAATAAAGAACCTTTATTTTTATGATTGTAGGTTACATAGGCCACAACCAAACAAACATTTTTTACCTTCATGTTGTTCCTCCTGGTCTGAGGTTTGACTGACCCCAAACTTCTGTCTCAGTGAAGAGAGAGTGTGTTCAGGGATGTGATGGGACAGTGACTCCAGATAACTCAACACGTAGCGATCAGCATCCATCAGGACTAACCGATGGCCAAACACTGCAGAGAAAAGAACAGAACAGCATGAGAAAACAGGAGAGTGATGATTCCCAGGATGTGATGTCACTGGTCAATACCCTCCACAGTCGCTCCAATGGAGAAGTCTGCAGGCCCGAAGTATTCTGGGTTTTCCACAGAGCTTCCTGGTTTCGGGACACAAGTCTTCTCAAGGAATTTTCCTCCGATGATGCCGGAATTACGTGTTGATCTCTCAAAGACACTGATCATGTCATCAGACAGGTAGTACGACAGAATGAAGCGTCGGCCCTCATCCAGGGGATTCTGGGAATCCTGTGGTAGACGAGAATGTTGTAAGGACGAATGTAGAGTCATTGCAAAATAAACCGACATTGTGAATAGAACTGGACATGAGTGGAAGCCATATAAACAAATACACAAACATTTTTATAAATAAATAAAAATATTCAGTACAGGAATGATCCAAATGAGCTGTGCTCTCACCAGCCGTGCGATGTAACGCAGGACTTTGTTGTCGTTCTCCAGCAGTTTGATCACGTCTTTCTTGGGCGGTTCAGGAATTAGGGACAGACAGTTCTGTAACGAGTCCTCCAGCGAACCGAAGCCGTTATACGGAGGAATCACCTGCGTGACAGGTTCAGAAAACACATGGACAGACGGAATATCTGGATGAACAGATGAAGGGAAGGGAACATTTACACATCATATACCTCACAAACAGGCGGGATAGAAAATATAGGGGTCTTATTTCACAAACATGGTACAAAATAGGCTTTTTTGCTTCTTTTTCAGTAAATCAAAAAGGTGGTTGTAGAGAAAATGTTATTAACATTTAAAAATATATTAAAAATATTACATTTACAGGTACATCTCAATAAATTAGAATGTCGTGGAAAAGTTCATTTATTTCAGTAATTCAACTCAAATTGTGAAACTCGTGTATTAAATAAATTCAATGCACACAGACTGAAGTAGTTTATAACATTGGAAATGCTTATTGAGTGTAACATTTAGTTTATAAGGCTTGCAATTATTTCCAACCCTGTTAGTAACTTTTGGAACTTTGTTATTTTCTAGAAATTAACTTAGAAAACATTAAATAATAAAATCTGTTATTAACATTAAAAATGTATTAAAATATAATTTATTTTATAAAAGGCTTACCATTTTTTCAACCCTGTTAGTAACATTTGGAACATTTTGTTATTTTCTAGAAATTAACTAAAAAAAAAAATTTAAATAATATTTTTTTTTATTAACATTAGAAATGTATTAAAATCGTAACATTTATTTTATAAGGCTTGCAATTATTTCCAACCCTGTTAGTAACTTTTGGAACTTCTTGTTATTTTCTAGAAATTAACTTAAAAAACATTCAATAATAAAATTTGTTATTAACATTAAAAATTTATTAAAAATGTAACATTTACTTTATATAAAACTTACCATTTTTCCAACCCTGTTAGTAACATTTGGAACATTTTGTTATTTTCTAGAAATTAACAAAAAAAAAAAATGTGTTATTAAGATTAAACATTTGGAACATTTTGTTATTTTCTAGAAATTAGCTTAAAAAAAAGTAATCATATTTTTTTATTAACATTAGAAATGTATTAAAATTGTAACATTTATTTTATACGGCTTGCAATTATTTCCAACCCTGTTAGTAACTTTTATAACTTTTTGTTATTTTCTAGAAATTAACTTAAAAACATTAATAAAATTTGTGAATAATATAATATTATGATTACTGGGTAAGACTTTTTAAAAATAATTTTGATTCAGACAGATTTGCTAATGAATCATTCAGACCATCTCTTGTAAAGTGGTTTGACTAATTATTGTTTGACTAATATTTCTACAATGGCATCACTAACTGAAAACATTTGCGTGATGCTTTATTCACACCGTGAGATGTCAGTGTGAGTCCAAGACAACTGAGTCACAACATAAAACATTTCTAGAGAACATAAGTGTACCCTATTTGTGGAAAGTGGCAGATAGATCATATAAAATGACCAAAAAAAAAAAAATTTACCATTTGCATACTACTGTAAAAAACATTTTTAACTAAGATGAGATGTGATGTTAGCCCAATTAAGAGTAAGTCTCTGACCTTCTTGATGTCTTGCTGTGTTCTGGTGTCTACAGTAAGTGGTTTGAGCAGGAAGTCGGGGTGATTCTGTTCATAGTATTTCCTGGTGAAGTCGTCACAGTCATACAGCAGGAAGCGCCTCCCCATCAGCGTGACCTCCTCACCGACCCTGAAGTCTTCAGGAGAGAAATACTCCTTCACGTCTTGTGGAGAAACTTCCAGAACACAGCTGGGGAACGGCTCTGAGTCCAGAAAAAGAGAGAAGTTTGAGGATTCTGCATTAATGTATTGATTATGTCCTTTGGTTATGCTCAAATGAAATATAAATGTAGTCTATGGGGGACCAAACCAGCGAAAATTTAAAATAAATCAATAAATATAATAACAGGAAAATAAGTAAAGGAATAAACGACTTGCTAAAACAAATACAATTAATCCTGTATTACTTTTTCCTCCTTTATTTATTAATTTATTCGTTTATTTTTAACTGTATTTTATATTCTTTCACAGATTTTTTTTATTTTTATGAATGTACTTATTTATGGCTGCAAAATTAATTAAAATAAAATACAAAATGCGATATAGCTCAGTGCCATTATCAAAACAAAGGCTGAGATTTCATTAAATAAATATAGTCTGTTGAATTTAAGCCATAAATATTGGTAACTTCTAGTGTAAAATAATGTTATTTGATCAAATAGTTTAAAATAATTGCAATATATTTTTGAACATTAACCAAATCAGAGAACTCTGAATATGCTAATGTGTTAAGTTATTGAAATATCCTCCTGACTACCAGGAAAAAACTGTTTTGTGAATTTAGTATTTTGTCATGTCATTACATTGTTTAGAGCATAAGAAAAAATTTGAAAAATAAAATTTTTGGAACATGATATTTTATTCATATGTTATGCCACGTCCTCTGTAGAAGACATCGGGACTTTAAAAAGTCCTGTTTTTTAAGAAATAAAAAGACATGAAAAGGCAAAAACAGTGGGATTTTTGTTTTAATCACAAATCAATTTTCATATAAAGACGATTCTCAACTATGTTATGAAAGATATTTTTAAAAAACATTTTTCTTTATGCAAAATGTGTGTAAAATGGCCATAAACAAGTTTTTCCATTATATACAATTTATCTATAAACTGTATCTAATTTGCAACATAGAATGAACAAATAAGTGCAATAATGGGAGTAATAATTAGCAAGATTTATAATAATATCTAATATTTAATAGGAATATTGATACATAATTTTTTCTCTATTCATTTGTTGTGTCTCCCAAAATGTGTAATAAACATGCTTTAAGTCCCTGTGTCCTCTACAGTGGACATGTATGAAATCGATGTCCTGTTTCATAACAGAAGCTCATATTTTGATTTGAA